CTGAAAATGGTATCTTTGTACATTCAATAAAAGGAAGTAAATTAAAAAGAAAAGGAGGAAAGAATAGGGCTTCCTCAGCTGGGGCTAGTTGAAACGCTTGGTCATATGGGAGCATTTCGCGAGGTGCAAGGGAAGGGTGACCAGTCGCAATCCTAGACACCCACCCCTGAAATCAAGATATATGAGAAGGAATAGAAGTGAGAATTAGTTCGAGGGTATGGTCATGGTCGCCAGTTCGATCAGGGACACATGCGGAGAAGTCGACTAGTTGACTAAGGCTCTTCACCAAAGCGAAATGTTCGGCTTCATGTCCTAAGACGATGCCATTACAATTGGGGTCTGCAGTAAACAAGTGCTCAAAAGTCGGAAGTGAAAAAATCAAAGATGGAGTCGGCAATATTGGGGAACTACAAAAGACAAAATATTCATGATTGAAAGATGTTGGAACTTCAGACGCATTAGCTGAAATTCACGATTGGAAATCTCGCAGGATACACAGTTGCGCTACGAGATTTCCAATTACGAAGATAAATATTCGTGAAAAACAAGCAAGTTTCCCAATAGGTCGCGATTGAATCGAGCAAGTCTTCACGCTGCGTCAACTCCTTGAGTTACATCATACACACTATTAATCAACGACCGTAGTTTTTCCTGGCCTCAAAAGAGCTTTCCAATCAGTTGACGAGAAGCTCTAACGCGGTACTAGTTGGATGACGTGGCATTCGGACGCAGTGAGGAAGTAGAGACAAGAGGAGACCCATTAAAGTACAAAAGGTAACAGCTCGCGAATAATTATGCTCCGATATAAAAACATCAAGAGAGATGGAGAGCATCCTTGGTGGAAGGTGCAATCTCAAAAGTCCCAGGCCAGTAAGCAACGTGCGTGTGAAACACTCATAGTGTATGGCAGCCACCGTCGGTATCTAGAGTAGGATCTGATGCGCAAGCGCGCAATTACGGTCCAGTGCGCGTATCGAACCGCGTAGAAAAAGTACTAGCCAAGAACGCGAAACTCAACTCAAAAAAACATTACAACTATATCCAGTCAAAGACCCCACGTAGAGGGGTAGTCGGAAACGGAGTAAGCGTAAAGTTAAATACCCAAAAGGCCGATATTCTCAGCAACCATTACTTCGAAAGGGTCCGCAAAACTCATCTAGGGAGAAATCCCCCAAACGTGCACCTAGAATCGACGAAGTCATCATCACAGAGGATGAGGTAAGGGTCAAAACGCAAGTTCTCAAGAGCACAAACACCTAGACTTCCAAAAGGCTTTGGACTCTGTGAACCACAGGCGACCCCTCCTGAATCTAAGGGCCTTCAGATTTCATCGGAAGAGGACGTCTCACGTTAATATAGAAGGGATCAAATTGATGAAAGGTAGGATAGCAAGTGGAGTCCCACAGAGTTCAGTTTTGGGCCCTCTCGTATTTCCAGTCTACGTCAATGACTTACCAACGAGACTTGAGAAGCCGGTATTCATGTTCACACATGACCTGAAACTGGTGGTTTCCCCCCCAAACCTGATCATGCAGAGGGATTTGGATACTCTCATACGCTAGACTGGGAGCTACCGCTCAAAGTGGCGTTGGTTCGCACCCGGGTAGATTATATATTCCGATTAATGTGCAGTTTACAGGACGTTGTCTTCGCTTGGATAAACTCATTTTTGGACCGTGAACCATTCCCGAAGGTTTGTGAATCAGGCCAAAGGTATCAATACAAATGGGGCCATACTGGAGCCGATATCGCTCACTGATGTGTTGGAAAAAGGTCTCAATATCCATTTCAATATTGGACGTCGAAAAGTGGAACCATCAGCGATATTGAACTTTGTCTAAATAGTCCTACATCCATTCGTCCGCGGAACACCTGACTGATTTGAACCTCTTCTTTATTCGGCTCAGCCGAATTGGGCTAAGTGAATGCAAGCGAATGAAGAAGAGAACAAGGGACTATCAAGTTAAGCATAATGGATTACAATACACGTATGAGTATTTACCACAATATTTCGTGTTCCGCAGATCTAGTTTTGAAACTGAATCCGTGTACTGATGAGATTTTGGTCTAATGCTGCAGAGAAATTGGCAAGATCGAAGAACGCCACTGTTCACGACACAAAGACAAATCACTCAGTGTCTCTAACCATCGGTGACCATCGTCCCAAGGTCCCCAACCAGGAGCAATGTGACCCATTACTCTGGTTGGGGATTTAATACCCTCTTGCAAGGTCTTAGCTTGACCACCCTTGGCTTTTTCCCAACTACTACCTACCTAAGCGAACATCGCGCGCCGTGGCAACCTAATTGGCGAAATGCGTAAAACATGCCTCAACCATCATAATCTGTGTTGGTCGACCACTTGCTTCAGTGGGCGACCGCGGTTTCCTAAAACTGTGTCTGACCTCAGCATTGCTAGTCCGGCTGCCCCACCAAATGCGAGCAGATACTTCATCTGTGATGCGTCCAACGGGTGAGATGTAGCTACCCAAATAACAAAACTTGTCCACTTGCTCTATTACTTCCCCAGTTGGAATGAGACTGGGTGCTGGACCAACCCAGTCTTGTAACATTTTACACCTTGAAGGTGCTAAACACATACCGAACATGGTTACACTGGCGTTCAATCTGTCCAACAAAGCTTGCAACTTACTTGGATCTTCACTTAGTAGCACAATTTCATCTGCATACACTAAATCAGACAGTCTGTCACCTTGGAGTAAATCGATGTTATTATCCTCGCATGAGGATAGGGCTGTTTACATAATCAAATCTACAAAGATGTTAAATAAAAAAGGAGGGGGAGAGAGCAACCTGGCGAACGCCACTTTCCGTGGTGAACCCCGGCGAAAACGTGCCGTAAACTCGGACTCAACATCGCTATTAGTATAAATGGATTGTAATAATGAAGTAAACTTCTCGGGTACACCTTTCAGGGAAAGGCAGTGCCAGAGTTTAGAGCGGTCGACTGAGTCGAAAGGCGCTTTCAGGTCGAGGAAGATGGAAATGGTGCGTCTACGAAAAGTGTTTGTGTTCTGGGATTTGACGAAGAGTAAAGATGTGATTGATACAACCTCGACCAGGTCTAAAACCAGCCTATTTCTTACGCATGCACCGTTCACGTGCGGCAGACAACTGACGGAGTATGATGCCAGTGATAAGTTTAGAGGCAATGTTGATTAAACTAATTCCTCTGTGGTTTTCACAAGAGGACCTGTCGACCTCCTTGTAAATCGGTATGATGACCGATTCACACCATTCAGTTGGAACCTGCTCCCTCTCTCACACCGAGCCCAGGAGTTTTGTTTACTCCAAAACCAAGGCTGGGCCTCCATCCTTAAAAGCCAATGGAAACAGCCCGTCTAGGCCGGAGGCCTCATACCTTTTGAGATAGGTTACTTCCCGGGAAGCCTCCATTTCTGATGGAGGACTGGCATCGACTAGGAATGTTTGCTCAGTCGAGGTGGGGAATAATAGTTCAGATTTCGAAGGGGCCCAGTTGAACTGAGCCTCAAAATGTTCAACCCAACGGTTAAGACGACGCTGCTGATCGTGAATCAGTATGACATTGGATTCTTTAATTATCTCACTTACGCCTATTTTCCTAGGGCCCGTATTCCTAATTAAACGGAAAGATAGCGACTATTATCAATAGGCGTAGGCTTTCTCCATCTCTTTATACTTTCCTATCCACCGTTTCTCGAGGTCATTCCTCAGACTCTTGATGAGCAGGCGTTTGAGAGATCTTCGCGCTGTTTCATATGTGGCATCCGGAGGGAGGGTTCTGCGGGCGTCCAACACGGTAGCCGAGGTCGACGAGATCCACTGTTTGTGTTTTGAGTCTGCACCAGGGTCTGACCTTGTTTTTATCGATATTTACATAGCTTCTTTGATCTGTTTCCAGTGTTCATTGAGTCCTTCGACTGGTGATTGAGCTGATAGGCGATCCCCTACGTCGGTGTGGGCAACCGCGAAGTATGCCGTGACCAA